AAAGGAAGAAAGGAAGGAAGGAAGGAAGGAAGGAAGGAAAGAGGAAGGAGGAATGAAGGAAGAAAGAAAGAAAGAAAGCGTACGTGTACATAGATAATTAGTTGCAGTTGCTGTTCAAAATTAGGTCAAAGTTTCACTTTTATCGTTGTATACCCACGTCAAGAAAACGAAAGATAAACATAAAATCCTTACAAAATGCACGTTCAATAAGCGAAAACTGTAGCAGTCCAAATAATAAGGATAAAATAACAAATTGAATTAAATTAAAAAATTAATTATATATCCGTATTAGTTCAAAACCTTTTGAACTCAAAGGTGTCGTCTAACACTCGTGTTGGGAACCATGATTTGACATCTTGACCCAGTTGAAGCTCAAATTAAAGCATTTGGAAGGGAAATTGTTAACACACAAAAAAAGATAGTCGACGACTTGTCGCTGCCTATAGACGTCATAGGAAGCTGTTGTTGTTTCATCCTAAGGTTTATTGTTTGTATTTGATATCAATAGAACAAGGACGTCTTAAATTTTTCCTGTATGATTAAGAAAGTGTTTTTGTCTATATTTAGTCAGTGTTTCCAGTGAGGTACCTAGGGGAGGGGGAGGGGARGGTCGAGCAGACAGTATTTTACTGGTTTCTGTTATTGGTTAAGTTATTCAATAATGATAGGAATGTGGTTTAGTCTCTAGCCACGATTTTACGAGGGAAAAATTAACTCAGGCAAAAGGGTTACCCTATCAAACCCTACCACAAGGGTAACCGGGTGCACTTAATATGGTAACCCTTGTGGTAGGGGTACCTTCCATTGTCGTAGAGGCCCTAACCTGTGAATATGGCGGGGGAAATGGTACATCCTCCTATGATGGAGAGCTCGCTACCCCCTGTTAGGGTTACCCTATCAAACCCTACCACAAGGGTAACCGGGTGCGCTTAATATGGTAACCCTAGTGGTAGGGGTACCTTCCATTGTCGTAGAGGCCCTAACCTGTGAATATGGCGGGGGAAATGGTACATCCCCCTATGATGGAGAACTCGCTACCCCCTGTCAGTTTCTATACATTTACGGTATCGTTGACTTGAGTCAATAGAGTACAACTATTAATTTCACTGAAGAAACTACAAGCTGAGCGTTGAACGCGGCGCGCAAAGCATTAGTGGTCAAAATGACCGGTCCTAAGCATTTTTGGAGCTTGAAAGAGCGAAGCAATTTGACAGTATAGTGAAATTGTTTTCATTCTTCCTTTCCGTTGTTCTGCTTCTTGTAGGCACGTATATTCATTTTAGTCAAAAGAAAAGAGAAAAATACGCAAAAGTTGGGTTTCACTTAGTTCTAATCTGCAAGTTTAAAGTAATGCAATAACAGTAATCTTTACGTATTATTGCATATACCAAATTTAAACAATATTTATTAACATATATACATATCCCATTGTTGGCACTGCTTGTCCCATACTCTTGATTTTATTTCTTACACATACGTAAAACGTACGGTAAAGACTGAATAAACACATTAAATAGATAAATAACTTAGTACGTATGACAAATAGGAAAAACTAAGAAACATTAAACTGCAAAACGATAAGAACTATTGAAACGAATAACTTACATTTGTGTACGAAGGGACGAAACTGCGAGCACCAACTAACTAAGTATTTACATAGAGGGCGTATATATGGCGTACAAAAACTCCTAAGGGACAAGACTAAATGACGAAACAATGACGAAAATACTTAGACTGAAACGAGTGAAACAAAAGCTATAGAACACTTATAAACAAACCTAAGACAAAGAGAACAAGAGAACTACACTAAAAACTCATTAAAGGCTTTTCAGATCTAACACCCATTATACTTATATCTATATTTATTGTTCAAAACAATTTAGATTAAAGCTCTCCATCTTGTGTAAATAGTTAGCTATATTCTTGGTCATAAAGTTAACCTTTACAATGGGTCGACTCGAAAGTTTTCACTACTTCGACAACCACACACACACCATAAATTAGCTCTTTCTCTTATAATTATTTAATTTAGTTTCAACTTCTTTTCATTATTCATTAATATTGCTCCTGTGAATACTTGTAAATATTTATGTGTGTGTGAATCAATAAAAATGTTAATGTAAAAATATTTAAAAATGTTACAGTAGCATGGGAATGAGGGCCGAAGGCAAAACAGCTAAACGCGCTGTGATTGCCTAAAACAAAATTCACCACTCAGCTGATAGCCATGCCATAGTAAGAAACTAGATTTCTATTTTGAATGATATTGTGTCACAAATAGTACTGGAAAATGTAAAAATCAAATTTTTCTGGTCTAAAAGAAAATTGCTCGACATGGCCTACGCATTTTCTAAATTAAAACTTCAAAATGATTGGCCGGTAATTGTCATTATTAGCGGAACTTCTAATCAGATACATATAGATATTTCTTTTGGGGTTAATGAAAAGATGATAACATTAATACGAACCCACACATCGACATCCAAGAATCTATTTGTATTGGTATGTGAAAGAATCCTAATTTTAAAAATGTAATTGAAAATTTCATTCAAAAGTTGAAAGCAATAATGTTTTTATGCCATCAGATTTAAGAATGCCACTGAATCTCAGACCTGTATGAAGTGACGTTTGTGATRAAAAAATTACTCTTAAACCTCATTTTAGTTCTCCCACAAAGTATTTTCTAAAAAAAGGAAAAAATAGAAAAAGAATTGAAAGAACTGAGGCAGGTTTTTTAATCTGCTTATACACTCGATGTAGCATACACTTAACATATAGATCTTTACCGAGTGACAAAAACACATTTCATGAATTGAAAGATGTTTGAATACGGTTGTTTTGTTTTCTTACAGTCAGTTTCAATTAGTTATAGGGATCGAGTGTCGCTGATTGAACAGTTGGGCAAAAATACTTCATAATTACCGGCCCTATAGTGTTGCCTCCAGTCAAATAGACGCTTGCGTTCAAGACATATGGAGTCATCTAAGCATAATTCCAGACATTACATTCCATCTTGATGAATTAATAGTAGGTTAGCTACCCTTTATAATATCGTAGGAGTATTCTTAATAGGAAAAATGGATCCTATCTCAAGCACCTTTGAATGGTATGGTGATGGTCAGAAAGTCTAAACAAACAGATTTGTAATGATGCATTGTCAAGATCTTTAGACTTTAAAGCTGTGATAACAGCAATAACAAAAATACTCTAGGAAAGTATATAACTTTGGGGACACTTTTGAAGTTCAATCAGTAACTTCATCAAGTGTCTTCCTGTTCGAGCTATTGGCAAAGAGTGTCTGCTACACATTAATTACTTAATGAGCTGGAGCTTTAAAACCTTCTAAAGCAAGTCACGTAACGATTTTCAAATAAGCCTTCGAATGACGTGCTCCTTCAACTTCTATTTTAATTGATTATTTTATCGAAGTCTTTTAATTTAGATTCCAAAAACCTTAAAACGATGAGTTTTTATGGATGATACCTTAAAACGATGAGTTTTTATGGATGGTTATTCTATTAATTTTTAAATTCAATACCACTAATATTATTATTATTTTATTTATTTATTTATTTATGTTTTTTTATAAACCTGATGGTATTTTAGTCCCTAATGATCTAGACAGTAACGATAGCAGTGCAACAAAAACATGGAATC